AAGTCCTCACTCAACGCTCAGAAGGAACTTTGGGAATATACACATGAAAATACAAGCAGCATTGTGTATTGCCCAGAACAATGGGCCAATAATAATGGGCCTCCTCTATTAACAGCCATGAATATTAAACTTGTTTCCTCTTAACTGTTAAAAGGAAGGGGAGAGGTACAATATTTAGGGGAGGGAAAACAAAACCCACCACAAACCCTCGACCAGGGAAGGCTGTTTGGAAAACAGCTGGGGCTAATTTTAATCACTCACAAAAGGTAGATTTACTTTACCCCACCCCACCCCTTCTGTGCAATGAGGGAGCGTGTATTTAAAGGTGGATCTGACCACTTGTACACTGCAAACGTGTGTGTGTGATTGCTCTGAGTTGGAGTTATTAGTGCTGTGTCTCCCCCCCAAGAGGGGCATGCTCTGTCCAGATATCTCGCAGTCTGAGTCAACGGAGCAGGGTTGGATTTTAACAAGAACCTGAAGGGCTGTGTACCCTATGTTTTTAAGAGGCATATTTTGTCATCGAATAATTTGGGCAATGTACAGCTCCAGAAAAGAATCCGTAAAAGGGACCCACTTCTCTTTGCACCGGAGTGAAAGCAATAAAGGCCTTTTTTAAAGCCCTACACCTGATATCTATGTTACATGAAGCTCGGCTCAAATAGGCTAAGTGTGCTGGTAGCCACAGCCCAGAAATTCTGATGCTCTGCCGGAAAGAATTTTTTTGTACAGCTAAGTTTTTGTTTCAGCTTTGTTTTTAGGAAAGTATAATCTACTTGCAGTGAAATCATGTAAAGTAAGGCATCTAAAGATCTGTGCTTCCGTATACCCTGTGGAGATCTTCCTGAATTTATTAGCATGACTGGGCAATTTCCTTTCGTTGTCACAGCCTTCTTACAAAACACTTTCACCAAAATTCCTTACAGGGTTGATGTAAATAATACAATTGCAGGATTACATCACAGATAACAGCCAGAGAGACTCAAAGGCTTGGGAAAGGGGGGAAATGGTTTGCATCTGAGTTTGGAAATGAAACAGAGACCATGAGATGGAGAGAGGAGAGAGAAGCTGTTCCAATCAGAGTGCGTTGCAGGGGAGAATGCTCTTGCACCCACAGTGGAAGGGGTGTACAAAGGCAGAGAGGAAGTTGGTGTAGCAGGCCTGGGGATGGGAGAAGGACAGAGAGAAATCTTGAAAAGTCCATGTGCGGGTTTGGGGGCCCGACCCAAAGACCACTGAAATCAGTGGGGGTCTTTCCATTAACTCCAGCGGGCCTTGGATAAGGACGGTTGTGAACAGGATCCTGAAATGAAGTGGGGGGGCTGCCTGACCATGGGGTGAAGTGGGATAGATTTCTTCGCATTCATGAGGGTTCCAGTGTGTGGCAGTTAATGCATCTCTTGGGTTGCAATAGCTTTAAGCCACCAAGATTAGGGCAAAATTCTTTTCTCCGATCTGCATGACAGATCCTGCCCCTGGTGATTCGCTCCTCTCTCTGTGTGTGGCCACCTCTCACTGATGTTCTGCAAATGTACTAAGCACAGCATAGCAAATACAGACTATAGGACCTGGGGGGGAAGAACTAGCCACAGCTTATGGTGGTGCCCCCAAGCCCAGCATTCTGACTGCTGAGCCCCGACCTTTGGGTGGTAGGGGCCTTTTTTCTCTCTTCAGATACTGTCTGAACCTATTGGCGGTGTCCTGTCCTCCCAGGGCTCCTCTGCTTGTTCAAGCCCTGTTGTTCTGAGGGCCCAAACCTGTGAGCACTAACCTGAATAGTCCTTACTACAGTCTATGGGAACGCTTCCCTGCACAGCTGGGCTCTGAGCTCCTTGGGGCCTGATTCTCCATTGCCCACCACTTGTGTCCTCATTGACACCAATGCAACATGGGTGCACATCATTGTTATTTGGATCCAACAGCTGAAGGGCTCCTTGCCCTACAAGAATCCAGAAGTTTGGGCTGGTCCCAGGGGTTTCCGCCCTACCGTAATCTGCTTCTGCCCCATCTTCTGGCCCGAGCGAGGATTGGATACAAAGCCAGCACCTCAGTTTCCTAGACTGGAGGACTGAGGTCCAGCAGGTCCAAAGAAATTCCTCTTCCTAATCCCCTTTTTCCAATCCTGGTGCACTGGCCAAAAGGCAGGTGCCCCCTGCAGGGCTGTAATGTGACGGGTGGGGGAGAGGGTGCTTGGGGGCTGGTGGTTCTCAGGGCATGGGAAATCTACTCCGATTTCACCCCCTTTTCCTGAGAAATGCAACAGGAGAAGCTGGGCCAAACTGAGACAGTCAGGTGTGTCAGGAAAAAGCCAGAGGCCTTTTCTCTTGTCCTAGCTTCATTGTTGGCAGCCCCCTGGGCTGTTTCATTGCAATGGATTTTCCCAGGGTTTATTTCAAAGTGAATCTGAAGCTGGTGTGGGTTTGCTGCATTGGATGCAACATGTGCAACCTCTGGGCTCCCAGGCTGTGCCTACCTGGTAGACCTTTAACTAACCTTTGTGGGCCCAATCCAGCGCCCACTGCTGCAAACTGGCAGCCTTTCCATAGATTGCAATGGGCGTGGCTAAGTCTCAGGTCCTTTCTCCTTTCCACCTTAGTTAACATTGGGTCCAACATCATGGGCCTGGTTCTTATTTTATACACCCCCCCCCCCCACACACACACACACCCTTGCTAACTGGGTTAGATGCTTTATGGTCACCTATGAGGAGAGTTCCCTGCCCCACAGAAAGTACAATCCGGACGGCAGAAGAAGAGATGGCCACCCAGCTGCCTTTGTCTTCAAATGGGTCTTGTGCCTGAGTGAGGACTGCAGGAGCCAGACAGGCACGCACCAGGGCGCGTCAGTTTCACATCTGATGTATTCTGGCAAAGGATCACCTCGGTGGCCCCGCGGTTCTGTCTTTAAAAACGATCTGATCTCTCCGCAATCTGTCATCCACGGAGCCCGGCGAGGGTGCCTGGTGACTGCAGACTTGTTACCCTCACTTCGAGCAGGAGAAACCCAGGGGGAAATTGCTGCTCCGGTTTTACCTCGTTGTCTTTTTATTAACGACATGGTTCAGCACGTTTCCGTCCCAGCTTCTCCCTACACGTTCCCTAACGGGGGCTCTGTAAAGTCCCAAAGCCAGGGCGAGCTGTCCACCCCCTGCCAAATGACTTTTGAGATTGGTCAGGAGTAGATTAGATTAAATTAAACACCGTAGCGCAGAACGAACGGGCAGAGGAATGGAGCGATTTCCAACGGAGCTGCGCGGGCTCTCCTTGGCTCCGCGCTCTCTGATTCCCCGCCAGTGTCTCTCTTGGGTTGACAATTGTTTGCAAACTTTCCTTAGAAAGGGCCACCGGAGACTGATAAGCCCCGAGCGCTCCAAATCTCTGCCGGCCGTTTCTCGTTGCCTTTATCCCAAACTGTTGAAATCCCCGCTGAAAGAAAAGTCTCTTTTGGTTCTCCTTGGCGTTCCCCTCCAACGTGGAAATCGAAGCCTAGAAAGTTTAATATCTAAGGTCTGACCCGAGGAAAGCCATAGGTGAGCGGATCCCTGCCCCCTTTTCCCAGAGTATTGGCAACAGCTGGGGGGAAATTTAGATTTAATCGCCCTGCAATCAGGATCCGTATAAACGGCCGTTTAGGTTTTACACCATTTTTGCCTTCTTGCGCTCCGAATTAAAATGTAAAACCCAGCCTCAGCGCAAAGCCGCTTCTGCGGTTCTTAATAGGATTTAAAGAATTTTCTTGTAGCTTCAAAAGGCGTTGGTGGGGCTGCCTGCAAACACATCGCGGGAGGTGGGTTGTTTTTTTTTTTTACTAGTTCTAGTAATAGAAGCTTTGGGGGGGATTTAGTTGTTTCCCAAGGCGAAGAGGCTTGTTTCTCGAACGCGTCGGTGTTTTTAAACCACATAATCCGAACTAAATGTCCGCGCCTTCGGTTTAGTTCTTGCAAAACAGAAATGCAGCGTTTACCAACAAAAGATTTGCACGGGCCGTACAGCTTTTCCCCCGAACAGAGGAGAAGCGGAAGGGGGAATTTTCCCCTTATCCCCTGTTATGATCTAACCCACCACCTTAAAATCCTCTTTGCAAGGTAATGTTTAAAGCATGAGCCTGGATCTAGACATTCGAGCCCACGAGATCTGAGGAACGCTGTGTTCGCCCCCCCCTGTAGTTTTAAAATGCCAGTTTCGGCTTTCTTAGGGCGAAATTGTCCCCGAGGTTGCGAATCCAGGGCGAAGTCTGTTTGGACGCGCCAGGAGAAGGAGCCGGGGGTCGGTGCTGGGGACGCAGATCCGCCCAGCCGTGTGGGCGAGCTCAGGTCGTTTTAACGGCGTTGGAAGCCCGGCCGTTCTTGGGGGAACAGCCCCTCGGGTTCGGCAGAGCCAAACCGGCCCCTAGTCCAGCAGATCCGTTTCTCCCGCTTACTTCTCCGCTCTGCCCCGAGTGATCGAAGGGACCCTGGTTGTACCTGGCCAGCAGCTGGAGGCGCCTGAGAGACGGGAGGAGCTTTGATTTTTCCAACTTACAATTAAAAACCCTCCGGTCGGTTTCACCCTGAGTAACTTTCAGCAGCTCGGCTCTGTCCTGCTGCAGGGCCGCGGGTGCTGTCCAAGGCAAACAGCAGCCGGGCGTTTCTCTCTCTTTGTCGGCAGGGTTCAAAGCTCTCGTGTAAACGTGCGCTATGGGGTATCGGTGCAAACCCGAGCAGGAGCTGGGGAGTGAAACCCATTTTGCCTGCCCTCCCCCCTGGCTCTTCCTCGCCAGAGCGAAAATCTCCCGTCTTTCCTAAGGCGAATCCAGGTGGCTTCACTTGAAAGCCAATGCAGCCTTCGGCCCCCCAGGTTAGCTGCATGTCTCTATTTTTGCAGCGCCCACCGCTCGCATTGTGTGAAAACACCGCCCGCTGTCCCCCTGCCAGCCCGCGATAAGGGGGTTATTAATTATTATTATTATTATTTTATTATATTTAGTATTTAGTTTCCTTTTCCCCTTCCCTCCCCCCAGCTGGCTGGGAAGGTCTACGGATGTTTCTAGAGCAGGTGTCCATCAGAGAAGCTTTCTCTGTCTCTCTCTCCACTGATGGGCTATTGCTGGGATATGCGAGGCTGCCTCTCTCCGTGTCTGTCTCCCCCCCCCACCCCCCACCCAGGGGGAAGGGGGGGGTCTCTGAAGGTTTGCCTCAGTCTGGTAGAACAAGTCTATCTTCCAGCGTCGGGGGGTCATTAATAACCAATTAGGAGGGTCACCGCCGCTCATATATAGCCGGCTGAGAGAGTTTGCCAAGAGGAATCTGTCAAGAGCGAGGAGCCCATCGCCCCGGGCTGAGCAGCGCTCTGCGCCCGACTTCCCCGCCCGCCCTCTGCGCCCAGCTGCCCGGCGATCCCCCCCGCCGCTGGGTTTCCATGATGGGCTCCGTGCTCCCCGCGGAGGCGCTGGTTCTCAAGACGGGGCTGAAGCCGCAGGGGCTGTCCTTGGCGGAGGTGATCACGTCGGACATCCTCCACAGCTTTCTCTACGGCCGGTGGAGGAACGTGCTGGGCGAGCAGCTCTTCGAGGAGAAGAGCAGCCACAGTAACCCCAAAACGGCCTTCACGGCGGAGGTGCTGGCTCAGTCCTTCTCGGGGGGTGAGTAGCCTCGTCTCCGCTCCGCTTCGCAAGGGAAGCGGCGGGGGGGGAGGATCGGGCCAGTCCCTAAAAACTGCCCCCGCCAGCCGGCTCTGGAGGGCGAGAAGAAGGCGCCGGCGCCGGGACCAGTCTGGGGAGAGCCACCCTCCAGAGCGCGCCAAGGTCCGCGGGGCGCTCCGCCCGCTGGCTTCCCACCGGCCCCATTCCCGGCAGCTTTTCGGCCTCTCTCCCTTCGGCTGAAAATCATCCCACCCATGGGGCGCCAGGGAGAATCCAGCGCTCCTGGTTTCCAGAGGAAAAGGCCAGCAGCCATTGCTCTGCGGATCCGTGCGCCCCGGGGGTCCCCACCTCCGAGGGACTTTGCATGTTCAAGTCTCTTTCCCAAGCTCCCTTTTCCCGCGTTGACTTTCCCACTCCGGCCTCCCATCGTTTCCCCGCTTTGCTCAGCGTTTATCCTCAGCCCATTGAAGCCTTAAGCCCCTGGCATTTAAGGCCTTATTAGGCGTGTAATAGCAGTTGACTGAGAGAGAAGAGGGGTTTAATTCATTTAGTTAACTTGGGCTTGACCTGAGAAAGTTCCCACTTAAACCAAGACCTTAAAAAGGGAGCCGGGGCGGGGAAAGGGGGGGGGGACGTTTCTTTTCTTTAAGATGTCTCAAGTTCTTATTCCTCATTCATCAGCTCGGGGACAATCTGTTTTCTCTCGCTTTGGCATCTATGGGGCGCCCCGGCTCCCTTTCCCCCCTCGAGGATTTCTGTTCCTCTCTTAATTTACCATGGAGCCTAATTCCATTTTCATTCACATTATTTCAACCAGCTAATCTCCCCATTTTGTCAGAGGAATTCCTGGGCCCCTTTAAGCAAGTCCCCGCGCCATTCAGGCGCGATGGATCGCTACAGCATTCTTAAAGGGCTAATGAATTTAGAATTAGCAATTGCTTTCTAGTTGAGTTTAATGAATGCGGATCACTTTAGCTGCGTGACAAATTGCTCGATGGGCTGAAATAGACACCATTTAACCCCCTTTCTCCGCCCTGCGTGCTCTCAACGTCGGGTTTTTTCCCCCCAGGTGCCTTCTCAATGCCTTGGAGGGGAAGCTTGTAAGACCTTGTAGGATGCGAGTGGGGCATTTCTCGGCGCGGGTTTGCTGGGGGGCCCGGGCAAGGCTGCGAAGTTCGGTTAGAATTTGCCAAGCCGTACTTTGTAGGTGCCCAGGGGCAGGAGAGGCTGGGGGGGGGGGGATTCCTCTGCCCCACAACCCGCCCCGCCCAGGGCAGCATGACTTCCAGTCTCCCAGCGCCGCCCAGAAATTGACCGGGGAGGGGAGACCACCTCGCATCCCAGCTTCGGAGTCCCTCGCTGAAGTCTGGTGCCTTGTCTCCCCGGGAAGGGAACTCCCCTGCCCGCGGAACGCGGCGCTAGGATTCGGTCCCTGGCAGGGAACCCTGGTGTCCGGGCGCCGCTTACCTGGGGTGGGGGGAGGGTTGGGTTAGAGACTGGGGGAGACGGACAAAAGGTAGAATCGGGGTTAGTTAGACGGGGGGTGGGCAAAGGCGAGCCCTGATTTCCCCCCCCCTCCAACCCCCTCTTCTCTCTTCCCTCCCCGCAGAGGTGCAGAAGTTATCCAGCCTGGTCCTGCCCTCAGAAGTGATCATCGCCCAGAGCTCCATCCCCGGGGAAGGGCTGGGCATCTTCTCCAAGACCTGGATCAAAGCTGGCACCGAGATGGGGCCTTTCACCGGCAGAGTCATCTCGCCGGAGCACGTGGATCTGTGCAAGAATAACAATCTCATGTGGGAGGTAAAGAGGGGAGGGGGGCGCACGAGTTCAGGGATGGGCTACCTAACTCTTCCTGCGCACTGAGCATAGCCCCTCCACTGAGCGGGAGAGCCCCTGTTACCCAGCTAGCCCCGTCCTGCCCGCGCAACTTGTGCCTGTGCGCCCAACTTGCAGGAACACGCAGACCTCGATTCACAGAGCAATTAACGACCGGCTTTGCGGTCCAGCACACGGGGCAGGGAATGAGGACTCCTCGGTCCCGTCGCGTGCTCGTTGCGACCTGTGGCAAGTCATTCCCCCCCCCCGCCTCAGTTTCCCCACGGTATAATGGGGGACCACGATGATATGGTGGGGGGGCTAAGTAAAGGGCTTTGTGATGGTCCCGTTAAAGGAGCTAGACATGCCGGTGAACGTACCTGATTTATCCCAAAGGGGTGTGTGTGTGTTAATTTCGCAGGATTTCCATAGGAGAAAGGAATCTTTTATAGAATAAATAAATTCCGCCCCCCCTGGAGTTAGTCCCCGGCCCAGAGTGGAGAAAGGTTTCCTTTGCCTTATGCAACTTCTCGCTCACAAAGCCAGGTAGAGAGGCCAGAACCTGCCTCACACGGTGCCATTAGACCTGGAGTAAAACGCACCGGATTCCCGATTGCGTTTCACCCGCAGCGGAATGATTGCCTCGCCCGGGAAAGCGGGTTGGGATGCGTGCTCTGGGCCAGCCGGAGGGGACGGGGGACTGCCCGGAATGGACGCGAGGTTTCCAGCCTTTCGGGGCAGACCTTGCGTGACCCTGGGGTTTAGATCAAGCCTAATTTAACAAAACGCAGGGGCAAAGCGCTACAGAAACAGCTGAACTGACCCCTGTGAGAACAGCAAGGACCTCGGTGCTAAGGCTGGGCTGGCCTGGGCCACATTTCTGTAGGTACAAGTCAGCTGATGGAAAACAGCAGGGGGTTGGGCTGTAGCTAGGAGAATTACGGTAAGGGCAAGGCCTTTTCATTCAATAGCCCCTCATCTGGAAGGGCCGGGGCCTGATCCGACTCAGTGAAGCCGATGGAGTTTTTCCATCCGCTTCCTTGGGAGCTGGGTTAGGCTCCAAAATCTCCTCCTGGCCCAGCACCAAACCTCCTCTGCTGGCCTCTTTTTGTGCCATGCAGAGAAAGGGAAGGCCAAGGCCCCACCAGACAGCAGTACTTGCTGCGAGGAGTGAGGATCTTGTCCCTGTTCCCAGATAACCAGTGTGGCTCACAAGGGAGTTTGCCCATCTCCAGTGTAACCAGGGATGGAGCCCTTTCAATCTGTGTGTTTTAATTGCCAGGTAAACTGCTGGCTTTGACAGGTTTCAGAGGAACAGCCGTGTTAGTCTGTATTCGCAAAAAGAAAAGGAGTACTTGTGGCACCTTAGAGACTAACCAATTTATTTGAGCATGAGCTTTCGTGAGCTACAGCTCACTTCATCAGATGTTTACCGTGGAAACTGCAGCAGACTTTGAGGTGCTGCTCATGCAGGTTTGCTGCCTTTGTTGCAGCCTGTACATGCCCAAGGCTTCCCCTTTCTATGGCCCTCCCACGTCATCTCCACTGGGAAAGATGAGCTACACACACCGAACATCTCATCCTATGTGTTGCCCCCTCCCTTTAACTGATTAAACCCTTCTGACCCCTGCCTCCCATCATGACAAATAACACCCACCCCAGCCGCTACAAACTTGCCACATAGCCCAAGGGATGAGCATCCCTGACCTACTGAGGCTCTGTGTGTGCATAGGGGGTGTTTAAAGGCCACTGACTTCTCACAGCACCCACAGGACCCTGAGCCATCCCTGGGTGTGTCAGGTGGAAAGGACTTGGGCTGCACATTCAGCCACGAGGCTACTAATATATCACTCCCTTGCTCCTCACCCTAGGTCTTCAATGAAGATGGCACTGTCCGCTACTTCATCGATGCCAGCCAAGAAGACCACCGTAGCTGGATGACCTACATCAAGTGTGCCAGGAACGAGCAGGAGCAGAACTTGGAAGTGATCCAGATAGGAAACAGCATATTCTACAAGGCCATTGAGGTAAGTGAGGCTGGAAAAAAGTGTGTGTGTTTTGGGGAGAAGCGGAGCAGGGAACTGGCATTCCCCCTATCGCGCATCCTCCCTTGTTCGTCAGTACTTTGCCTTCAGGGGCCTAATTCAGGCAGCAGTGAAAAGGCTAGTGGCTTGCGGAGGGAGAAATGTTGGCACCGAGACCCTCTCGAGAGCAGCAGGGGTCGATGGGGTGGTGTTGGAGAGCGACACGCGCACACATGAGAACGGAGCTTGGCGGGCGACTCAGTGCAATCGCCATTGCCTGGGTTTGCAGGGGGGGCCTGGAAAAATGGGAGTTTGTCTTTTTCCTCCCATTTCAGTTCAGTCTTGATCCACAGGGGGTGTGTGTGTGTGTGTGCAGGAAACGGGAAAGAGAAAAGAAATAAGACTTGGGCTCTCTTCCTGCTGTGGATCTGTGTGGAGGACTGAGATGTTAACCTTAGGGGTCTGCTCCTTCTCCCATTGAAGTCAGTGTGACTTTTGCCACTACCTCTAATGGGAGCAGGATTCTGTCATTGCCTCTAATGGACCCCGCTTCTAGGTTTATGCCTGGGACAAATCAGAATCAGGTAGGTTTAACATAAAACATACAGGTTACGTTATTGTTAAAATTAAAGTATTGGGGATTCAAGTTAACTACACAGATCCCTGATCCTGCAAGTCTTGATTCAGCCAAAAGATTCATTGAATTCCATGGACCGGGTGCTGCTCCTGGTAACAACGACATAAATCAGGAGTGACGCCAGTGAGCTTTGTGTAAAACCAGTGTGAGAGAGAGGAGAATCAGGCCATGGCATGTTGGCTGGATAAAGATGTGCAGGATCAGGCTTCCAGAGCTGCAAATTACGGAACTGGCCAAGCCCATGTTTCTGGTTCGTGGAGTTCAGTTGCAAGCTCTTTGAGGCAGGGATCATGTTTTCATCAGTGCCAGTACAAGGGGCCCCGATCCGGCTTCTCAGAACTACCACAATATACAGGTTTAATAATAGCACAGCTGCCAGGCTGTGGCTCTGAGACCGCAGATCTCGCCGGCTGGGGTGCTGGCTCCCGGCTGCATGGAAAGGCGAGGGCTATTTGTCTTTCATCACAAATTGGCCCCCCAGGAGAGCTCAGGACTGCAATGGGACCGCTCCTCACAAGCAGCACACAACCGGACTGCCCAAGCAATAGAGCCAGCCAGTTCTAATGGGAGGTAATCATCTCCAAGAGGCACCCACAGGCCTCTGAGCACCTAACAATATCAGAGCTGAAGGCAACATGTTCCACACACCTGATATTAAAAAAATCCCTGTAAGCCAATGCCGCAAGCTCCCTGCAGAGAGAGACAAATAAACAGGGCCCAGGAGGTGCTGAGACTCCCATGGAAAGTCTCTGGAAGCGGGGCATATAGGGAGCATGCCACACAGAGGGGAAGGCCCCACCTCAAACTCTGTTGGGATGATACCTTGGGGCAGCCAGTGGGCCCTGCCTGCCGAGCAGGAAGCAGCTGGAGTTCAAGGTGGCGGCCGCATTTCGGATGAAAGGGATGTTGGATTCAGAGCCCGACGTGGGTCTCAGCAGTATTACTATTCAGCTGCCTGGGTGGGGGCAGGGGTGGGAATGTCCCTCATTGAATCCAACCTCCCATCACGGCGGGATTGGCTCTGGCACGACTCCAGCAGTGAGTCGAGGATAACAAATGCCCCAGGAATAAGATTGGATTCACTTGGCTCTGGAGACTCTCTTAGCCAGGAGAGGAATATGAGCACATGCTCGCCGTGTTGCTCTTTGCCACGTGGGTCCAACAGAGCCAGCTCCAGGGATCCAGGATAGAACAATTGCGCCCTGAACACACTAGTGGAAGGGAACGTGCAAGGGGCTGCCTGCGTGGTGCTGAGCAGTTTGGTCCCCAACCAGCTTAAGTGTGTGTGCTTACCATGTGCATAGTCCCATTGAAGTTTTTAGGGCCCTGCATGGGCTTAAAGGTGAGCCACATGCTTTGTTGGATGGTGACCCAGGTCCACAGCACCTTGCAGATCACCCCCAAAGTGAGATTTGAAAGAAAAACCATTGGGTCCCAATTCTGTGCCCCGTAGGCAGGTCAAACTCCCACTGACTTCAGATAGGAGTTCTGCCAGCATAGGGACAGATCATTCAGGCCCACAGTTTATCCTGGAGCTAAATGAAACAGTCAAGTCAAATAGGTTGGTGCAGAACGAGCAAAAACTGTTCCTTTTCTGTGGCAGGCAACTTGGGCATTTGTAACCAGCTTTCTGCAGTGTAAGGCACTGCCCGAAGCTAGAAACCATCCCCAGCTCACCCGTGTAAATCCAGGACACAGGAGAGCTAAGTGTTGTTATTATGTAACGTTCCTCACAGGTGGGGTTTCTTTGCCTAACGGAAAAATAATAGCTCAGATTTTTATCTATAGCTGATCCTAAACTCCCTATTCCTGTGGATGGGCTGCAGGAAAGGTTGCTCCTTGTAAAGGGAGTGTAACTGCTTTTTATCTTTGTTTTTTATACCATATGATGAAATACAATCATAGTATTATACTGACATAATTCTCAGAAATATAGATGGATGACATGTATGTGATGGCTAGCATACGTGTGTGTATGAATGACGATAGATACATATATAGGTGTGTATATAATACCTAATACAGACAGACAGTAATACGCAGTTCACACTGCTCATATGTCTGAATCCATGACTCTACAAACACCAGAACACTATTTTTCAGTTCTTCTAGATCGCAGAAAACCCAAAATTATAATAACGTAAGAGTTTGTGACTCCAATTGACAAAGGAAATAAATGTCACAGTTAAGCACAGTGTGGTACATGCTGGTATCCAGGCGTCTACTGGTGTGCATGGGTCTGCTCCTGCTCCCAGTGAATTAAATAAAGCAGGATCTCTCCACAGTGTCAGATGGAGATGGGGTTAATTATGAATTTTGTTCTGAAAGAGAGAGGAAGGGAAATCAAAGTGTCCTGAAAGTGTCTGAGATTAGATTTTAATAGCTCGGTCTAGGTCCCGATTCTGCATTCCTTCCTCGCCCCAGAGTCCCATACCCAGTCACACAATGCACACGCACAGTGCCACAGGTACTCACGCTCTGAAGTTGGCTCCTATTCCTCTGTTTATTCTGTTTGAAATCATTAGGAATGGAGGTTGGGCACAAAGAATGCTGGATCAGCCTGCATTGGGGTGAATATTTATTGAGGTGTCTATTTGTGGGAGGGGGGATTAGAAGTGGATTTTCACCCAGTGGACCTCATCCACTCTGATCCGCTTGGGTACATCCTTAGAATCCCTTTGATGAACCCGCTAGAGGGGGGTGGCTCCACCATATCTTTTACAGCAAGTGTATCCATTCTGGCCTCAGAGCAAAGCTCATTTAAGAAATGTAGGTTATTTATTGCAAACATCTCTGTCCAAGCGTAGGCGCTGAATGGCCCTTGATATCTTGGCTGCTTCCCTGCTTTGAAATACCAAATGAAGGGGCCACTTGCTCACCAAACGTAATATATGCACCCTTTAAATCAAAGCTACTGTTGAGTTACGGGAGCACAAATAAAGTGTCTCAGAACAGCGAGTGATTCCAGCCACTATTCACCACCTTGAAACTTCACAAAAGCTAAACGTGGGTTTAAAATAAATATGAATCCCAGGACTGAGGCTCTGGGTGGTTAATTTCAGAACAGAGTGACCCTCTGGAGACGGTAGTAAGAGCCCAATCCCGCAGATTTGACTCTCCTGAATAGACCCCAGGGCTAATCTCGTAAAGGCAGCAGGATTGGGCCCTTAATTCCCAAAGACTGAGTTTCTGATCTGTAAACGTGGATCTAATCTTTGCAATAGCATCATGGAAAGCAATGCTTTCATACATGATTACATGTCATTCAAAAAGACATCAGTTTCTTGGGAATCCAGCAGAGGTAGGATGCAATGCTAGAAAAAGAACCGACATACTGAAAAATCCAGTTTATTACACACACACACACACACACCATCTTTCTCATCTGCATTCACACACACACTCTCTCTTCTCTCTCACCTCCCCCCCATCTTGCACTCTCTCCGCAGGTGGACACACACTTTGACACACTTTCTTTTGGTCTCTTTTTCCCAGCACACAGACTTGTAAAGTGTCTATGTTTTCACGCAATCCGTCTGTTTTCATTGCGGTAGTGTCTGAACATTACCCACACAGTTAAACCAACTCCACTAATGACCCAACGCGTCTTAGTCCTTCCTCCTCCCCCCCAGGCAGGTAGATTGGGGACATTTTTGTAATTAATTGCTTTTATTTGCTTGTTGAATTTTTGTTTCCCTCTTTTCTTTCTTCCCACTTCCTCTTCCTTCTTCATCTTCTTCCTCAGCTGTGTCTAGCTGCAGCTGTGGGGGTGCGAAGTTGAGGCAGTGAGTTTCAACCTTCAATCGGAAGGCCGTGAGATTTGTGGGGGTGATTCAGATTGCCTTGGTGCCTGTGTGCACACATCTTTCTGTGCACATGCACACTTCTGCCCTCATCCACACGCACGCACACTGGTGCATACGTGCAATCCAGCGCGTGCACACTGGATGTGCATTCATCCCTTCTCTTCTATTTCTTCTATTCTATTAAAAGGGACTAGTTTTCAATGAGATGGTTAAATGATTGCATGCATGCCAGAAAGTGAGACCTACAATTTATTTCCAAGTTCATACTATTCAACCCTTAGATAGGCCACTATTCATCATTAACCAAGTGCCTAACTTAAGGTCAATTCCCATTGTTTGTAGCGTGATTCCTCATATGCTTAAAGTTAGGCACATATTTAAGTGCTTTGTTGAATCCGGCCCCTGTGTATTCGGTGACTCGATGGCTGCAAAGTTGTGCTCCAGAATCTGGGCTTTTATTATTACAATTATTTAAATTAAATCTCTAAAACATGATTTGCATAAAAACCATAAAAACACGAAGTAGGTGTGATCTAGTGTAACAGTGTCTGACAGCCTAAAATTGTAGCTCAGACCAGTGAGAATTGCCTTGTTCTGAAACCTAATGACACCACTCTAAATGCCAGCCCGGTTAACTATTTCTTGATGGGTCATTTCAGCAGAATATGGTTTGCTCACCCTACGTTTTCAAACTACTTCCCAGGTGCCAAAAGCCCCAGCAATCCCCTGATCTCTACAATGTAGGTATGCACTGTCCTCCCACAAACCTGAGACACTGAAAAAGTGAAGGGCAAAGGAAAATAAATGGATTTCAACACCACAATAAATAATGCAGAAGAGATGCTTTCAAACCTCGCTTCTTAAATGTCCTTATGGCTGCTGCAGAATACTCCGCCTGCTGCACTGAAATGCGGCGGGAATCAAAGACCTTGCTGTAGGGTTATTTATGATTATTACTGGCATGGCATGGCCCAGGACCCCACCGTATTAGGTGCTGTACAAACACAGCACAAAAAGCCTATCCCTGCCCCAAAGAACTGAGAATCTAAGTAGAATTTAGACCAGTGATTCTCAACCCATTTACCATTGTGTGCCACGTCTTTGTTATGTGGGCTGCATCCAATCCTGCCTGCATGGCCCTGAGGATGTCACAAGGGCCGCAGCTCTGTGCTGATTGGGCCGCAGGTTGAGAACCACTGATTTAGACCCATCTTCCCACCAAACCACTGCCCCTTACTGGGAAGTGTGCAAGCCTTTCCTTTAACTAACTGTCAGGGTCTTCTCTGATTGTACCCTGGGCAACCTGAGCCCTTAGCTATTGTATCTGCACTTCCTGTCTAAGCTTAAAAAGCACCAGCAGGTCCCTCCCCCCAAACACCAATTGGCTCCTTTGGTGGTAGTAGGAGGCTTGCTGGGGGCAGAGAAGAGTCGTGCTCTGCCACATCTCAGCTGGGGTAAGATGGAGCAGCCCCTAGGTTCAGCACAGCACATACCTGGCTCCCAGATAGATCTCCCCCTTCCTACCGCACAGGAGCAGATCTCAGCACAGGACAGAATTTGGGCCGAAATGTTTAGGGGCAGTACTGGATCAGATTAACACTGCCTCTCTCTGCCTCAGTTTTCCCTCCCACCCTTTGTCTTTCTTGTCTATATAGATTGTAAACTGTTTGGGGCAGAGACTGTCTCTTATTCTGTGTAAGTACAGCACCTAGCGCAATGGGGCTCTGAGCTCAGTTGAGGCCTCTAAGATAAAGCCACTGTTGGCCTGTCGCTGAAGCCAGAGGGAGCTGTCAGGTCTATTTGTCATGATCAATCTCTGACTATTTTCCAGTCTCGGCAGCACTTTCTCAGACAGTCCGGTCTCTGGGCTCTGTGTCTGCCAAATCCAGCCTTTTAGTGTGCTCAGCATGGTTTGGGCTATTGGAACTAGGGAAATGGCAAGTGTCTGGATGCCATGTGCAGTTCTAATCATGTGCCATAATTCCTGTCTTTTACCTCTCAGTTCCAGGGTCCCGCTTGCAATCACTCCAGATTCCAGCTGCCAGATTATTTCTGCTGTAACCCCCGAGTTACACCAGAGATGAATTTTGCCTTAGGAGTCTAAGGAAGCCTCTGGCTCCAGCTATCATGGAGGCAACAAGCAGAAAAATCTATTCACATCACCACCCTGTTTGTTTTTTCTTTCCCTGTAGATGATTCCACCAGACCAAGAGCTGCTGGTCTGGTACGGGAACTCCCACAACACCTTCCTGGGGATCCCGGGCGTGCCGGGCTTGGAGGAGGAGCAGAAGAAAAACAAGCATGGTACGTAGCGCTAGATAGGACAGTAACTGTTGCAAATGCACATCAGCTTTCATCCCCCAGCCCGCATTCTGCGCACACAAGCCCTGCCGGCTGTGCCCTGGCTATCCCTAGACAATGAAAGGTGGGAGGGGTCTCACTAGCACCTGGATCCTCTCAGGCAAACAGGCTCTTTCAGGGCTCATCCAGCAGGGACTGATGGTGGACCGTGACCCAGTGCTGACAGACCCTGATGAAGAGGGGCGCAGAGTGGGATGGAATAAAGCCTTGAGGGTCTTCTCTACCAGGTGTGCTTCTGGAGGGAGCCCAGCACTTGGCTCTGAACTGTTCCAACCACTGCTCCCTTGCAGCTCGAGATACCTGCCCCAGGGCCTGACCTGTCTGGCCTTGTAAAATCCTGGGCCCCGTTTCTCCAGAGCTGTTTGCACAGCCTGGACCAGCTCCTCAGCTGGCGTGAATCGGCTTCGCTCCACTGGGAGACTTGCACTGATTTACTCCAGCGCTCAACAGATAATGACCAGTAATAACTTGATGTTGCCTGAGCCCTTTGTAATACCAGTAAGGGGGAGGGTCTGAGCACATTGGGTCTCCCTTATGCTGCTGTTCTCTCCAGGCTTTCCTTTTAGCTGCCCCAATAGAAAACTGCCTGGGGCTTTGGTGGAACCAACACCACTGGGATCCCAAAAGCTGTCCCAGTGGAGAGGGTAGGCTCTGTACTTTTCTTCTTGGGATCCCTCTGAGCCCCACTATGGAACGAAGGCTGCTTAGCTTATAAGGATTAAGGCCAAGGGGCTCCCCCGAAATTCTGCCGGAGACATCAGTGAGTCTTAGCATTGCCTCCCCATGCTGACTTGTCCAGGGCTATTACAGCTTTGTCTGCAGGATCCCTAAGGCCAATCAGCCTGAATAGCCTGTGGCCCAAATCCAGCAGTGAGAGAGCCTTTCATTCATCACTCCCACTTGGAGGAGGCTTCCTGGATGGTGAGTGGGGCAGAGAAAGTGCTGACTCAGTGATCTGCACTAGCAGAGGCTAAGTGCTGAGTCACTGATTTCCCTGAGCTGTATGGTGGCCCCTTCCTTAACCCCCTACAACCCCATCTTCTCCCAAGATCCCATAACAGGGGACTCTTAACTCCTCTGGGATTCCTTCTCTGCTTGTTCTGCCATTTCCCACTGGGACAGACGGAGAAGGGGACCGGAGCGAATGAGCCAGAAACAGGGCATTTTAGATCTCCAGGTCCAATAGGGGGCAGAATGCAAAGGGGGACCAGTTTGTAGAACATAATACTGTAGTAAGGAAAGGAGAGATAGTGAGCCCCATGCAGCCTGCTCTGTGCGGCTGCCTCAGTGTGACCTTAAAAAGGGTGCTCCTGCCTGCACTGCATTATAGATCCCAGGGCCTGAGCAGATGTGGGGTTTGCCCCACTGTCCTTGACTCACTCACACTCACCCGCCCTGCCTCTTTGCCTCTGCCGAGGTGACTGCTTCTCTGTATGTGCCTGGGCTCAGGGCTGCAGAAGAGCTCAGCACCTGATCACCAAGTGCTCGGCCCCCACAACCGGGGCCCGATTGCCAGTAGCGCTCAGCCCCCATCGTGACTCAGCCAGATTTTCGAAAGAGCTCGGTGCCCAGCATGCACCCAGCATGAGCGCTTCTGGAAATCTGGCCCCGGCTGTGGGTGCAGGGCTCTTTAGACAGCCCTGGCCATAGTTTCTAAGGTCTCGTGGAGATCCTTTAGGAAGAGACGGAGGTGACTGATCCTGCCCCCCCGACCCCGAATCCTTGGGAGGAGGAGTGGGTCATGCGCAGCCATGGACCCACTGTGAGTGAGAGCACAACTCGCATGGGCAGGGGAGGCTTCCTCCCCCAGCACAGAAAAACAAGAGCAAGGATTCATCGTGTCTCCGGAGCTGCTGTGCTGTGAATTCCATGGCCAGCTGCTCATCGTTTCAAAGCCCTGCACTCCCCCGACAAGATGGTAGCATCGCTCTTTGTTGTTGTGGTGCTGAGGTCTGTGCAGGTTTGAAAGCGCTGGCTAGCGCCAGGCATGATGCAGACAGAGGCTGTGCAGACTTGTCCCCTGCTCCCAAGCCTGGCCTGCAGCACCCTTGCTCTGCTAGCACCAAGTCCCTGCCCAGCTCTGCCAATGCTGATCCAGACCCCTGCTGTTCTAGCCTCAGGCTCCTCCAGAGCCCAGTCGCGAAGTGGGCAGTGGTTTTGTGACATGGACAAACACCCCATAAGGGCTAGATGCAACCCACCCATCTTATTTTCTTTTGACTCCCAGCCAGGATTTAAACCTGAGTCTTAAGGGGGGGAGCTATTGCCTTCAAATATTGACTAACCCAGTCCTTGAGAGACATCTTAGCAGCACACAGGCCCAGATCTCAAGGACAGAAAACAGCAACCCCCCCCATGAAGAAAGGCTAGTGATTAAGGCATAGGGCACCTGGCTCTTATCTCCAACTCACTCTCGCCTTGAGTGAGTCACTGAGAAGCTCTGTGTCCAGTTTCCTGGTCTATAAAACTGAAATAGAGAGACCTACCTCCCAGGGGGCTGGGAGGGTTAATTGGTCAAAGTGCTTGGAGATCCTTAGATGGCAGATGCAGCTGAGTTTTGCGCAGTGCTTACAGAAATGATGGTTATTTATTATCGATTCATTATGTGCTGCAGGGGCATTGCTACTGCGCTTGTCCCGACCGGTCACCATGCACCAATGTGCCTCTGTCTTTACTGAAGGTGCTGTAACCTTGAGAATCCCTCGTGCCATGAAGTCACCTTACAGGCACAAGGAAGGGCATGAATTGCTCAGGCCCTGAGATCCTGTTTCGGCTGCAGAGCAGAGGGCAGCGGCTGACTCCTTGTGTTGTTCTTTATTACACAGAGGACTTCCACACGGTGGAGACCGGCGCGAGCACGGCCGGCCGCATGCGGTGCGTGATCTGCCACCGGGGCTTCAACTCCCGCAGCAACCTGCGCTCCCACATGCGCATCCACACCCTGGACAAGCCCTTCGTCTGCCGCTTCTGCAACCGCCGCTTCAGCCAGTCCTCCACACTCCGCAACCACGTGCGCCTGCACACCGGAGAGCGCCCCTACAAGTGCCAGGTCTGCCAAAGTGCCTACTCCCAGCTCGCTGGACTCCGGGCCCACCAGAAGAGCGCAAGGCACCGACCTCCCAATGCCTCCCTGCAGTCTCACTCCCCAGCCTTGCCCGGGCCCCACCCTGCCTCCCTGGCACATCACATACCTACAATGGTGCTGTGAGCCACTGTCGGGCTCCGGGGAGCCATTTCCAGCTGTCGGAGACTGGCATTGATAATGCGGATGAATTTGTGGGCATCAACCCTTCAGGGAGCGGTGGGGGGCAGAGAGGATGGGGCAGGGCCGATTTCTTAATTAAACAGTTTGCTGACGAAGAGGTGTTTGGCATCAGGCAGCGAGTGGCATAAAGGCATTTGGGAGGGTAAACACATTGAGAATGAAAAACAACATGAACCCTAATGTGAAGACACCAGTATATGTGGGGGGAGGGGAGAGCCAAAATGCTGATTTCTGAAACATTTTCCAAGGGTTTTTGTGTTTAATCCAGTTGGAGGAAGAGAAGAAAAATTGCTTTTCCTTCTATTGAAGTTAGTGCAGCTGGAAGGCCAGATTCACCATTGGTGGGAGTGGGCACCATTCTGTTGAAGTCAATGCAGCTGTGCCTGTTTACACCAGTGGCAATTTTGGCCCCAAAGCGGTTTGCACTGGGGATATTTACAAAACCCTATTCTGATGTTAGTACTGGTGGGAGCAAAGTACAGAAAAAATCATGGGGCCAGGTTCCATTTTTGCCACCATGTTCTTTAGGCTTGGAGTCCATGCTAGACCCCCAGCTGGTCCCCATGCCACTTCAGCTGGTCCACCACATACCACGTCCGGCTGGTCTGCCATGCCAGAGCTAGCACCAGTGGGAAGGATCTTTTGTAAGTTTCCACGGACTCAAGTGTATTAGTTCAAAAACCCACACCCCTACTTTTTCATGCCTAAGCTGTGTACCTGTTAAGACCTCTGAAACTGCACACACATCTGAGCTTCTGCCCATGCAGACGGGACGTGCAAAGTGGCAATTGAGCAACAGGACGTTGATAAAAATTTGCCCCATCATGTGCTCAAGAAATGGAGAGTCAAGCAAGTCGTCTGGTGTCACCAAAAGCATTTTTCCAGGAAGTGTGTGAGCTGGAGTGGTTAGAAGTGCCCCCCACACTCTCAGCTCACCTTGCCAAGGCCACCTCCCACACTGCATGGGTGTTTCTCCTCCAGCTCTAAACTAGGGCTGCTTGTCCTTCAGCAGATCCATATCTCTAGGGCCTATTTAAACTCTTACCTCTACTGCCCTCTGGAGACCAGAGAGGAATAATTCCTTTGGCCAAACCACACCCAGAATGCAGTCCGGAGCGCCCCCTTGAGTCCTGCCACAGTTATGAACCCAATAAGAAGGATTTTGTGAAATAGAATATAAAAAACCTATTATAATATTATTAATTATAAGTATAAGATGTATAGAGTTTTCGCAAACTGTGTTTTACTTCCAGAAAACAATTGTCACTTTACCTTTGTAAATATTTATGTAAAACATTATTTACAAAACTTTGATATTATATATTATTTGATGGTATATGTACACAGCTGTAAATACATTTGTACCTCTCTCTCTTGTATTCTAAATAAAAATTACTTGGAACATTTATCATTTAGAAGGTGAGTTGTTTGGGAGTTTTCTTTCTCTTTGTGTTCAAGGAAAGCATAATGTTGGTCTTGGAAAGGGGATAGTGGAGCTTCTCCTAGAGGGTATCATTGAAATTTGGTTCTTTTCACTTCCTTAGTGTCTTCAGAATCCTAGCTTGTGTTTGAATGAAATGAACAAAAGATCCCATCACTGTATTATCAAGCATTGGAACAGTTTCCCATGGGAAGTGGTACATTGTCCATCACTTGGAGTCTTTAAATCAAGATTAGATGCCTTTCTATGCTCCAGTTCAACCAAAGTTATGGGCTTGAAGCAGGAATCACCAGGTGAAATTTTGAGGCCTGGCTCCTGTTATGCAGGAGGTCAGACTAGATTATCATAATGGTCCCTCCTGGCCTTAACATCTAGTATCTATTTCACACATTTTGGACAGAGCATAATTTACTGCTCAATCCTCATGGATTATTTTCAAGAACCATCCTTGCATCTTGAAAGATGATGGTTTTAAAATGTGGAGAAAAGCAATTTACGCACGGGCCACACACAGAGCCAGAGACACATGGTGTTCATATGTATGTAAGCACAGGGTGTTGAACCCCAATTTTTCATTCATTACAAATAACTCCTGCAGTACTTAACAAAGAGGTACAGAGGACTATCCCCACCTCCTTCTGGAATCACCTGGCCTTTAAAGACAAACACACATCCATATATCATAGATCAAGATTTGTTAGTGCTCTGCAATCCTAAATAGGGCCTGTTTGTACCATACCATGTTCTAGGCAGTACCAATGTTCTGGGGCAGACCCGCTTTTGATACTCCAGCAGCCACTATCCTAATCAATTCCTGTCCACCATGGTCACGTCACTAGCAAGAAGATTGCTTAGGATACATGGGGATACCACTGGTGGATCTCATTGCAGGATCAGGTCTAATACAAGACAGCACTACAGCTCTCTTCAGCTTCACTTTGGATTCTTTTCGCTAACACCAGGGCTGTCAGGAGCAACACCACTGTGGGGTAAGAGGCGAGTCACGCTGTGGGATTCAGCACAGCAGCTGAACGGCAGAAAGGATTATGATGATTTGCCTCTTCTGAACATGAACCAGTTTCTTCTGCTATGTGTTTATACAGTTCCTGGCTCTATGACGACCCTATGCTGCTTGGACCCTTGGGGGGCTATCACAGTGCAAATATTTAATAACAATAACAGCTGTTCTCTGATATAACCATCCACCCAGAGAAGATAATTTAGCTTACCAGATGGATGCCTGCGCTGCATTTAGGCTTAATGCAATGGGAAGCATTGGCTGATGACCACGGTATGATCTCTCTCTTAAATCCCTAAGTGACAGGATGACTAGGTAAATGACAAGAGCTGGTTTTTCTTAGTTGTAAAAATTAGTTTCTTAACATTACATTCCTTTTCCTGTCTACGTGTAGACACTACTTTCTTGCAGTTTCAGTCAGACCCAGTGGTGCTCAACCCACGGGCTGCTTGTGGCCCAATCAGCACACAGCTGCGGCCCATGTGACCTCCTCTGGGCCATACAGGTACTATATAGAGAGAGTGGATGCGGCCCACGTAACCCATGGAGAGCTGCATAACCCATGGTTGAGCTCCACTGAGTCAGATGCTCATTTAGCAATGCCGTGAGCTGTTAAACAGCTGCTGTGCCCCGGAGTAGGCTGTGTCTCAGGGATAGCTGAAATGAAGCCTGTGCATGACAGAGTTGTTGAGTGCTTTGGGATCTGGTTTGAAGGCGCTGGGGCTTTAAGGAAAACAATAATTAGCACGAGACTCATGACAAAATCATGAGAGTTGGTAACACCGCTGCGGCAGCATCGTTTAGTGGGGATTTGCTGCTCCCCACCGTTCTGCAGGGGGGTGGCTGCCCGCTGGTGCCAGTGCTGGCCATGCGTATAGGGCCCGTGGGCCCCAAGGGGATGTGGGGCCGAATACGCCCACAGTTACTATGGCCGGCGTGCAGCGCTCACTATGAAATACTGCCTCTGGGCATTACCAACATGCGGCCTGTCTTGGGGGGCCATTTTCCTGTAGCCTTAAACCCCACAACCAGCACTGGAAGGCACCAGAGCCCGAGGCAGCTTGCCAGCACTAAACTTGGCTCGACACCTGTCCCTTCCTTTGAACCCAACGCAGTGAAGGCCAGTCCCGCTCTCTGCCAGGATCCAATATGGCCTCCCCAGTCTTGTCACTGCTGAGGCTCGCCGGGCCCTCATCCAAGATGGCGGCGCCCCAAGCCAAGATGGCAGCTCCCACGCACGCGCTTGCCTGTAACTGACATGGCGGAGAGAACGTGTGGTTCAGACGGGCACTGAAGCCTAGGAAGGAAAGTGCCAGGAGTTAAGATGGCGGCAGTAGAGGTGCGGCTGCCGGTGGCCCGCAAGCTGGTGGCCCAGAGCCTGGCGCAGGGGAGCGACAAGCACCTGGTGGCTCCGGGGGACACGATCACCACAGACACGGGCTACATGAGGTGAGGGGCCTCCCCCAGATTTCTTCCACCGGTAGGGCCCTTCCCCCAGCTCAGAGACTATGGGGCAGGGTCCCTTATCCCCCCAGATATGGGGCTGTGACTCAGCCGCCCCCCCCCCCCCGGCGCATGGGCTATGGGGCAGGGTCCCTTATCCCACCAAACAGGAGGTTATGGCGCTGCCACACAGCCCTGGGGCATGGGCTATGGTTCCTTATCCCCCCAGACATGTGGCTAGGGTGCAGCCCAGCCCCCCTCCCCAGGGCGTGGGTTATGGGGCAGGGTACTTTTGTCCTCCTGCATCCCAATGGCAGCCCTCCCTTTCCCCCCATCCTAGCAGCTAAGGCTATGGGGCAGGGTCCCTTATACTGCACGGAATGGGGCTATGCTGCAGCTTCCCTGTCCCCTTTCCGAGGGTTGTGGGACAGGGTCTCTTCCTCCACACCATCCCAGTGGCAGTGGTTACTGGGAATTAACAGAGTTCTCCTTCAATCCCATGTTTTCTGGGGGGCTGCTCATTCCTCCCTGCCCCTGCTTCTACCCCCAGAGTCGAGTTGCAGAAAACGGCTTCTCCTCGGGGCTGGGTCCGCAAGCAAGAGTCATTGTGGTTACTCAGGGGACCCCTGAACACTTGCTTGCCCTGCTTTGGTTTCCCCTCCAGCTCACCTTGCTGGTGAGGGGTGGGGTGAGGTCTGATGTGGTGTGGTCTGGTCTTCTTTATCTGGCTGTTAACTTCTCAGTGCCCTCACGCTATTGCTTGGCTCATGCTTAGAACTGGCCCTAAGTCACTCTCCCTCTCCGCAGTGTTGGGGGGGGGGGGGTTATCAGTCTCACTTAAAGCTGGACCACTAGTGCACATGAGGATGTAGCCTGAGCTATGTCACCACCTGCAGGTATCTTTATTTCATAGACTCTTCGCTGGGAACCGGGTAGAGAGACCTATCTCAGCCCTAGAGTGGTGGGGAAATAGCCCCCTTTCTCTTTCCTGTTTTAATTCTAGGGAGCTTGGGAACTCTTTCCCTAATAACTCTGTGACAGTTCTAAGCCAGGGGTGCGAAAAAGTGGGTTGGCCAACCCCAGGGTGGTCGGGATGGCAGATGTATGTGTGGATGTTTGATGTATTCTTTTTTGGCAGGGGCCATGGCACGTATATGGGAGATGAGAAACTTGTAGCATCTGTAGCAGGTGCTGTGGAGAGAGTGAACAAACTGATCTGTGTCAAAGCTCTGAAAACCAGGTGAGAACAGAGGCAGAAGTCATTTTCTGAACCTATTTAGAAATCAGATGTTCCTTCTGTGTAATTCCTAGCACTGCATTTCCCACTTAACGACTTCAGAGAGGGTGGGCGTAAGCCAACAGATGGTCTCAGTGTGTGTCCAACAGTGGGAGATGTTGGGGTGAATGTAGAAATTGTCAGACTTTATCAGATCAATACTTCCGTCTACACCAGATTGGTGGATTTCGTAGCCATATTGTTCATGTATTGTTAGACCAGAAGGGACCATTAGATCATTTAGTCTGACCTGTGTAACACAGGCCAGAGAATTTCATCTACTTACTCCTGTACTGAGCCAGTTGTAAATCCCTGGTAATAAAGGTTAGTACTGGAAACACTGATGCTACAGTTTGCACAGGCTCCAAAGATGACTCTTGCCAGCTTGGCCCTGCTTTTTTTTTTTTTTTTTTATGCTGTGTTTTTAATCAGTCTCCTGCTGATACATGTATCTGAGTCGAGCGATGTGTCTGAGCCAGTCCGGGAAGAGGTTTGCTTGAACACAATTTCCCTTTTTGTCTTGCTCCCAGGTATAATGGGGAAGTTGGTGACATTGTGGTTGGGAGAGTCACAGAGGTAAGGCGAAGGAGATCCTGGCCACTGTTTCCTGCCAATGACTCGTTTTCCCTGATAACACACTAAAACCAGAATTACACTTGTCCTACATTTAAAATGTAAGAGTGTTAGTACAGGTTAGTAGTGACAACATAGGACTGTAATTGGTGCATCTGTGTCTGATCAGTGACATTTCTAGTGTGCCCAGCATCTTAGCATCCAGCCTTTTTAGCACCTGCCACTGGGCATTGAGGGAATTCAGCATCTTACTGTAGTGGACCTTTCCTTTTTTAAGATCCTGAATTCTATTCCAGGCTGAGCTGCTGTGTGACGTTAAGGAAGTCATTGCCCATCTGTAGAATGGAGATGATATCAGCCTCCTTCGTTAAAGGGACATGGTTAATGTAACATTTAGTTGGAGTCTTAAAAATTGATTTAAAAGTCATTTTGTGTGCTACATCTGTGCCTGAGATCCCCTGTTAATGTTCTTAGTGGATGTTTGTATCGGGTGGGGTATGTTCACATACACAGAGAACAGGACAAATCTCGTCACATACTCCTCGTTTTTGTTTGTATGAAGTTCCTTGGTTGGTGTTGATTGCTGGGGACTCTGGTTCTACTGGCCATTAAAAATCCTGCTCCACTGGTAAGCACATGATTGATGTTTCAGAATAACAGAGGAACTTCTCTCACCTCCCCCTCAGGTTCAGCAGAAACGATGGAAGGTGGAGACCAACGCCAGGCTGGATTCAGTCTTGCTTCTCTCGTCCATGAACCTACCAGGAGGGGAGCTGGTGAGTGAATGCCAAGTAGCGTGTTGCTGGATTCCTTTCTTGCTGCTCAACAGCAGCAGATGTGAGGAGTTAGGCGCTGAGATGAGCTGCGAGGCTGCGTATCTCTTTCCCCAGTTGCTGTTGCGAGTGCAGCATTGGTGCCCAGCTAATTCATCTATGCATGCAGGTCTGCAGGTTAATCTGCTGTATCCCTTTCCAGGACCTTCTGCATGAAGGCAGCTCATCCCATCAAGTGTATTCCATCTACATAACTGATGCACTCGGTGGATAGGACTACACTTGAAGCTGGAGATGTAATACCCAGCTGGGGGGAGACATACCCACCTTCGCCCTGATCGAGCTAGCATGCTAAAAATCGTGTGTAGCTGCAGCAGCCTTGAGTGCGTGCCTGCCAGAGGCACTAGATATGTACTTGGGCCAGCTGCTCGTGCTGCATTTTTAGCGTGCTAGCTCAATCAGAGCTAACACAGGTATGTCTGCTCAAGCTCAGAATCCCATTCCCAGCTTGAAGTGTAGATGTGTATCTGTTCCTGTAGCTGTTGCACCTTTTACACTTCTGGGTTATGGGAATCATGGTACTTTGAGATAGAGGAGACGTATTGGTCCCAGCCAGTCAGCTACCCTCATCCTGGCCAGGCTGGATTGTTCCTACAGCATATTCTCCAGTGCCTTACCCGATCAAAATGCGTCCAGCAGCAGAGTATCCCTTGGAAGGCTTTATGATCTATAGAAGGAGGCAGGTGCTCTACCTGCTGATCTAAGGAGGCCATGCCCCATAGCTTGTGGTGGACGGAATTAAAATGGATGGGGATCAGTTACTTTTTCACATAACTTTTCCTCCCTTTGTACATTTCAGAGGAGGAGATCAGCGGAGGATGAGCTTGCAATGAGGGACTATCTACAGGAAGGGGATCTTATCAGTGTATCCTTCCTTCGTTTGCATTTAGGCAGGAAGCGTCTGTGGGTCTTTGGTGCATAGCCGAATGCCGGAAGATTAACTCTCCCTGTTAATCAGAACATGAGCCTTTCTTCTTCATATGTGTGACCTAATCCAAGAGTTTCTCCTCCACCGCTGACGGAAATAGGTGGGACAGGAAGGGTGTTATACTCCCCTTTGTTTCCACCTGACATTTTTCCGCCTCCCCAGTTCTGTCTGGCCTTAGGTCCCATTTTTGCCTAAACAGTAGGTGTATCATGGTCAGGAGCACTGGACAGCCTCTCCATGAGGCTCTAATCCTGTTCTGGGATGCTTGCTTGAAGGAAGCATCTGTCCTAGGATGGCTGCTGGAGGTAAACAACATGTGCACACCATCCCTGAAGGCAGAGATCATCTGCTGACCATCGTAGGAGACACTCAGTCTTAGACTCTATAACAGTGGGTCTCAAACTTTTTTACTGGCGACCCCTTTCACATAGCAAGCCTTTGAGTGCGACCCCCCTAATAAATTAAACACACTTTTTTATATATTTAACACCATTATAAATGCTGGAGGCAAGCGGGGTTTGGGGTGGAGGTTGACAGTTCGCGACCTCCCATGTAATAACCTCGCAACCCCCTGAGGGGTCCCAACCCCCAGTTTGAGAACACCTGCTCTATAATCTGTTTTATCTGGTGATCTCCTAGGCTTATCAGGCTGGTCTTACTGCCGGTCTGAATGCTGTTCCCCAAATCTTTCACCTCCAGTTTGCTTCTTCTGCACGTTTGCCCTCCCTCCCCACTTCCCAAGGACTAATTGTTGGTGGGCTAGCTGGGGGATGGACCTGGGCTTGTGGGCCTGTGTTGTCTTGGATGCCAAGATATGACACTTTGTCACTCCATAGCGTGTATTGCATGGCCCTTTGTGAGGCTACCAGGCTGAGAATAAAGATTGAGCTTTGAGCCCCTAGGCTGCCCTGAAATGACCAGGAAAGTACCATCAGACAGCAGTGCTGGGGATTGGTGGAGAACTATGGGATAAAGGGAAACTCCACCTGAATATTTCGTTTGTGGGTTGCCCAGCAGGAGCGATGGGAGGTGGGGGAATGAAGGCTAGTGGGGCTGGTTGGAGGCAGACTTCTCTTTTCCTTAAGCAGCACTGCCAGGCAGAAGTCCAGGCAGTATTTTCTGATGGGGCTGTATCACTGCACACACGGAGTCTGAAATACGGGAAGGTGAGGTACCGAGCAGATTGCTACTTTTCCTTGTCACTGGAATTTGTTTGGCTGTGCACCAGCGTAAATGAGAGCAGAGTTGGCTCCCGAGTGCGGGGTCCTTCAGCATGAAGGGTTCTAGATAAGAACAAGATTTTGTTACTAACCTGTATCTGCAGGCTGGGAAGATGAAGGGACTGGAGCCCAAAGTGAAATAAAATGCAGAGTCCCCCTGTGTGAAATGTATCTTGTCCATTTGCCCTTTAGCCCTCCCTATCAGCAGTTACAGATAGTGAACCCCTTCTGGGTATCAGAACCCTGGGGAGAAATTGCTTTTGGCTGAAACTTCCTGATAGCTCTTCCTGCCCGGAACTGCCTGGGCCTTTTCCTTCTCTCTGTTGCCCCAGGACTCGGGGGCTTTATGTGCTTGGCATTTGTCTCTGGTCTTGTGTGTTGAAATAAGTCAATGGGCTGTTTGTAATTAGGCTGCAGTTCACAGTTATCAGACCCGGAATATTAGCACTTCAAAGCTGAAAGCGGAGCAGGATTACTGTACAAAGGGTGAGGGACGGTGACTGGATCAAATGTGCCGCTAAATGGAGCCTCTCTCGCTCTTTGCCTTTCGGGAGGGCTGGATGGGATGTTGGTATGATCACGATATTAGTACATCTCTCACTGAAAGCTTCCGTAGACTCTTTGTCTTCAAAGGGCTGCCTGGGCATTAGTTAATCCTCCCAGCACGCTGGAGGCAGGCAGGGTTGATATCCCCATTTCCCAGACGGGGACAGCAAAGCCCCGAGTTGAAGCTGACTGGCTCCCAGACCACCAATGGAGTTGGTGTCAGTGGTCGGGCCACACCCCTCTCTTGTTAAGTGTCATGCTCTCCTCTTCAGCTTGGCCAGGGTGTGCTCGTTCAGGTTTCTCCCTCCCTCGTGAAACGCCAGAAGACTCACTTCCATGATCTGCCCTGCGGCGCCTCTGTGATCCTTGGCAACAACGGCTTCATCTGGATCTATCCAACGCCCGAGCAGAAGAATGAAGAGGCAGGGGGCTTTGTCACCGATTTGGAGGTGAGGAAACAGTGCTTCAGCGGTGGTTGGGTTGGTTAGTTGCTCGTCAAAAGGCCTCATTATCAAGCTGTATTTCAATAGCCTGGCGCCAAGAAACAGGACCCTGGTATCTATGGTAAAGGGAACCCGTGTCCAGGGAAAGTGCTAACCTAAGGGCTTACACACATTTCATAGCATGGCCCACGCCTGAATAAAGAGATTGTCACTGCGGCATCTCCCCTTTCGTTCACAATCTCGGAATGTCCTGGAGGACACGACAGCAGTTGCTTATGTGGAACCCATGAAGGAAATATTTATATCTGTAGCAGTTTGCTAGTGTGAATTAGCAGTTGGAAACAAGGGAGGGAGCCACCGCCATGGGAACAGGCAGGTCTCTGGGAACCACCACAGCTGGCTCAGTCAGCACCCCCATGATTTGTTCACATATCTAACGCACAGTGAACTGCTAGCCGAATTCCTAGCCCTTTAATATTGGCAGTAAACCGCATGCATCCTAGCTGAAACAATGGACTGTTCCATTAGCACTGCCTGTGTGGAGTGAGTTGGCTTGTGTGGGGAGAGGGTTTTCCTTGCACAGACAGCTGCGTAGCTTCATGGTGATAGTCTGTGCTGCCATGTGGGGCGCCCAGGTTTAATGCTTGGTCCTGATCTCTCTCGTCCCTCTGGTGTGTGCTGCAGGCCTGGTGCACTCAGCCAAATTAAGGAACAGCATCAGTGGGCTACAAAAAGCTGCAGTTCAGCTTTTGGATGGCAGAACATTGCCTGAGACATGGAATTTTAGGTGGGGAAGTGGAAGGAGGTACACATGGGGAATTGGGGGAACCTTCAGACAAAGAGTTTTCTGTCTGAACATCCAGGCTTCCTTTATAGTGGAGCCATATCGTGGGCAGTGAGTAGCTGTTGACCAGAACTGATAGACCACATTCCTTAACTGGCAGTGTGGAAAGAGCCCAAGATTCCTGGCTCCCAGTCCTTGCTTTAATCACTAGTTCCCCTGCCTCCTTAGACGTTTGAATTCACTTTCAGGGACAGAAGCTGTATTACGTAGACGATACAAGTTACTGGATGTGGTTTTCGGTTTGGAGTGACGCTTGTGTTGTCCTAGACCTCCAGTAGTTCCTTGCAAATTCATCCCTTTCTCACATTCCGTGTTTTTCCCCTTTTGTCCTTGCTTCCCTCTCAGCCAGTTTCCTTACATGACCGGGAGGTAATCTCACGACTCCGGAACTGCATCCTGGCTCTGGTTGCTCAGAAACTGATGCTCTACGACACCAGCATTGTGTACTGCTACGAGGCCTCCCACCCCCATCAGGTACTGAGTCCAGTTGCTGCTTTCTTCCCTCCCTGCTGCACGGGCCACACCACTTTACCCCAAAGCCAGTAGGATAGGGCATGCCTTCGCTGCCTGGGATCCACCCAGAAGGTCCTCTGTCATTGTAAGCGGCAATATGATGTCCTCTGTCACAGCGTGAAGCAGATGGCTGTGGAAAGGTTGGGATGGGGATGGGTTGAAAATCCCTACATCTGGTAATGTTCAGCTTGGGCTCTATAGAAACAAATATCTCCTTCGCTAGCAACGACAAGGTTTCTTCCCTGCATGAAAGAACAGCCCCTTCCTGTCTGATCCCCGTCAAACCTATTGGGTTTGGAATTGCACCAGGATAGGGTGAGGTGAGGAGGAGGTGTCTCACCTAGAATGGACTGGAAGGTCAGAGTTTTGTCTTCTCTCTCCCATATGCACATCCCCTTCTGATGCTGGAAGGTTCCTGGTGCCCGACTTTCTGTAGCTGGATATGGTGCAGTCAACGCCCCTCTGCCCCACGATTTGTTAATGATTTTAATGCCATATGCTATCACAGAGATCCCATCAACAAGCCTTTGTTGTTCTCCTATCCTCGCCAAACAGACAGACTTAAAATGTCTCCTGCTTTCATGTCCGGTGTCAGCCTCCCAGGCACGGTGGGACATGTAGTCAAGCTCCACCTCCAATATAATGCTCCCTCTTAAGTACCGAAGCACATGATTTAAGAAGGGCTGTGGTGTCTGTACCCTCAACTCAGTAGGTATAGAATCGTAGGGCTGGAAGGGACCTTGAGAGGTCTTCTAGTCCAGTCCCCTGCACTTGTGGCAGGACTAAATATTATCTAGACCATCCCTGACAGACCAGGCAAGACTCATTAGTTCCCCTCTCGTGCCCTTGGGTTAGTTTGCTGTCAGGACTTGGGGCATCTGTTGTGATTGTTGCCAGTAGAGTCTGCTTGGCCCACAGCCCCCGTGTTTCCATATGCTGCATTAACACCTGCCTGCAGTTCATTGCCCTGTGCACCTGGCATGGCCTCGTCCACTTCATGTGCCGGGGTCACAACTGCAAACGTTGCACTTCTCCTTTTCACTGCAGATCAAGGACGTTCTCAAACCAGAGGTGATGCAGGAGATTGTGCTGGAGACCCGGCAGAGGCTGTTGGAACTGGAGGGATGAGGGAAGGAGATATGGCAGCTTGGAATCCCGCCAAAGCAGCATTGACTCCCCAACTTCCTGCATTGCCCCAATCCCTTAAATGTCTTTCCAGAGCTCAGAAAATACAGGATTCCTTCTGGTTTGTAGGGCAATGTAAACCCCTACAGACTGGACATATGGTCTTTGTGAAGAGCGGCTGCCACTGGGATGTAGCTTGCTAGACTGGTTGCTATGGTGGGCAATGTGCTTTTAAAGTGCCCCTAACGTGGGCCACATTGTTAGGACAGAGGAAACAATGTATTTTGTTTTGCCTTATGGTGTGCGTCTGTCCCCCGCCCCGGCCATTCCCCAAGGATCACGTAGCCGGTCCCAGCAGTGGTTGATCATGACAGTGATAGGAGTTCTACCAATATGTCCTTTATTCAAGAGACACATTTTTTCCCTCAAGACCCACATTACAGCTACCCATCTCCAAAGGACGGGACTCATCGCCGAGCCTGTGAATGGTTCTGTCAGCGTGCTGTGTGGCTCTCTCTGCCCCCTTCCAAACACACACTGGATTTGGATGGTCAGTTCTTGCATTTTCTGTGCTTAGAATATAGCGTACAGAATGGTACAAAGACCTGCTGGTGCCAGGTGGCCATCTCACTGTGTATTGAGTGCCCAGAGGTAGTAGTCAGGCAAGGTGCCTTGATCCTCCAGAGCAAAAGGCTTCTTCCCATCCCATGCATGGAAGTGATGATCCCAAGTGTTTTATTTTGTAGGTCTGATACTGTGAGCTCTGGTAGTGAAGGATTTAGCTGTTGTTTCCTACTAGATTTTTCTTTAAAAAAATCTTCAATAAAGAATATTTTTTGAGAGAGAATCTGTGAGTCGTTTGTTTGGATGAGCTTGTGTCCCACCGTGATGAACTGGGTCTCACTAAGGAACCATTCTTAGGTCAAGTCCTTCCTGTACAAGGACGTCAGTGGCTGCACTATACCCTGCTGGGTCCCATCTCTTCATCCTGCCTGTGCAGAAGTGGCTGAAGCATCCCTTGCTAAGCTATTGCTAGCTGTCTGTCCCTCTCCTCCGCACCCACTCTCCATCAAGACGTTGCCAGCCTCCCTGCATGGGACATCTTGCCCTGCATGGTGCTCCTGTGTGGTGTTCGTGTGCTCAGTGTAGGGTGACCAGATGTCCCGATTTTATAGGGACAGTCCTGATATTTGGGGCTTTGTGATATATAGGTGCCTATTATCCCCTACCCCCATCCTGATTTTTCATACTTGCTGTCCGGTCGCCCCAGTTCAGAGTGGCCTTGCTTCCAGTGGTTCCTATACAATAGTTGCTTTCCTGAAAGATCCCTGGGGAATTAGGTCAGGACCATCCGGGCCGTCCTAAGGAGGACTCCTCACCCCTTAAAATATGGGTCCTCCCTGGGATCCTCAGGAGAGTGTGAGGTTAGTGGGTAGAGCAGGGTATGTTGAGTCACAATTCGCATTTCTGGTTCCTGCTCGACCACTGTCTGCCATTTCTCTGTGCCTCAGGTTTCTCTGTCTGTAAAGTGGGGATGATGCCTGTTTTATAAGGGAGGTCAGAGACTGAATTAATTAGCTTGTAAAGTGCTTGGAGATTCTGGCTGCGATGGGCCCATTGATAGAACCAAGAAACTTGTCCTGTTTGTGGTTTAATCTAATACTGATATTGAAAATCCTCAGCTCAGCCCTTTGCTGCAGGAGCCTTTGCTCCAAGACTTTCCAGGGGAAGCAGATATATGCCTCAATTTGCCTTCCATCTCCTTCGTGTTGCCCCCTGCAGTTGCCTTTGACTAAGCACTAGGTGGCAGTTTCCACTCAAGTTTGCAGAATTTCAGCCTGCTGCACTAAGCTTTATATATTGCATCTTCCAGCTGTTAAATGAGTATTTTGCATGTTCCATGTAATGCATTCCACGCAGCAAGGCCCAGGAACCTTTAGTGACCAGAGCTGTGATCTGCATCTGAGGTTTGAGAACATTTCCTACTAAACACTGTGACAAACACATCATCAAGTTGGGAGGAAAAGTCTGGATAGATTACCTCCTTAAGAGCTGGTTTCAGAGTAGCAGCCGTGTTAGTCTGTATTCGCAAAAAGAAAAGGAGTACTTGTGGTACCTTCGAGACTAACCAATTTATTTTATGCTCAAATAAATTTCTTTGTCTCTAAGGTGCCACAAGTACTCCTTTTCTCCTTAAAAGCTGGAGCCTGTGAATGATGCAGGCACTTCTGCCATTCAAGTATTCATGGAGGAAAACAACCCAAGAAGACTTAACCACAGGGGTGTCCTTTCACCGTTACCCTGTACGTGTTAGAATTGGTTAGCAGCATTTATTTTCCTTGTATGATAGCAGATTATGTTCTTTTACCCAAGTCACTGAGTCAAGATTTTGTTTGTTGCTGGAAAGGGGGAGTTTGGGGATTTTTGCCCAGCTTTAGTATGTAGCTTTTAAATGCTATTGGGTGTGGAGCAATATAAATAGCAAGACAGTATTCAGCAATGGTTCCTGCTTTCCAAGGGGATTGACTCAGGCAAAAGGCGGCCAGGTGAATTACCCACATTCTACCCTGTATCCTTAACTACTCTCTCTGCCTTTAAACCACGTTCAGCACCTTAACCTGGTTTAAAAGTGGGCTGAGGGATGAAATTACTGCTCTTCGCTGCCTCCCAGGAGGGTTTTGTCAGCTGTCATCCAGAAATGGCTTGATTGGAAATTGCTATGTGAATTTAAAATATTGCCATATTTCTGGACCTCTGGCAGCCTCGCACTACAACCCTGTAATAGTTCTTGGAGGAAGGGGGAGTGCAGATGGGCTTAAACCTTTCTTGAAAGTAGTTTAGCTAATATGGTTGAACGATGTGAGAGAAACCAATTTCCAAATGAGATTAGTGCCAGTGGAGACTGAGTTGCTTGGCTTGGATTTAGACCCAGGGCTATCTTTCCTCCCAGCGCTCTACTGTAACCATGGGACCTCCTCTTGTCACCAGCAGGTTCAGGTTCAGGAATGGAGGAAGAAAGGAGCCTGTGGTGCCTCTTCTTGAGTGGATCTCTAATCAAAATGGCCCATGGTCAGGCTCTTCTTTCAGAGGAAGAACAAGGATCTAACTATCTATCTAACAGAAAATGTGCAGTGTCTTTGCCTGTAGGGGGCTTCTCTGATAAGACCGCCTTCCATGCCCCAGTTTGTCTTTCACCAGCCCCATCTCCCTCTCACATGTCTACATAGGTCACATGGGTCGATACACATGGATCTGCAGCCGGAGATGGGTGAGAAGTTAGTTAAAAATCCAGCCCATCTGTTTCAGATCTGAGCTTTTTGTTTCCTTTTGGTTTTAGCAGAGGAAGTTTCCAGCTCCTAGTTAGATTCCTTGGACGTGTCAAACAGGTGAAGGTGTGTGAACATATCAATTACTGTGAAGCCAAGTAACTAACACTTACTGGTCCTGCTGGGCGGGGGCCTCTGAACAGAAGCATCAGCACAGGTAAGGGGCTATTTCCTTTCATGTGTTCTAAGAAATGGAATCTGATATTTTTTCTAAATGGCCACTAGAGGTCTCCAGTGGTCTATGCAATTCCTGCTAGTGCAGCAAACCCACAACTAAACCCTGAAGGCAAGTTGCAAAGGGCATTTCTGGGGTTCACATAGTCTCTATTCAATTCCTGAACTGACATGTTCCCTTATCTGAGTAGGCTGCTTTTGATTCCTGCCCTTCCCCATAACTTGCACTGAGAGGGAGATGAGCCTAGGCTGGGATTTTCAAAGGAGTCTTAGGCTGTTAGGTGCCAAACTCCCATTAAAATTGGGTACCTAACTTCCTTAGGCACAATTGAAAATCCAAGCTTTTGTGAGAAGAGGATCCATCACTGTCTTCACATGAGCCTGCCCTGTCAGCTACCCTGGGGATGGGCAAAGAGTTTAAAACTTGGAGCTGATTGTTTCAGGGACTTGGCAATCTTTAAGCATGGTCGCCGTGCTTGTCCCTCTCTGAAACAGAGATGGAGCAGTCCCTGCCCCAAGGAGTTAACAGTCTAAATGACTGAAATAGCCAACAACAGGATTTATAGACTCTGCAAACAGCGCGGAAAAACAGATTGGCTCAGGGGGATCAGCTGGATGGCTGCATTCAGAGAATGCTGCCAGGTTCCTGAACTTGTGCTTTTGGAAAAGAAACATCAAGCTTGCAGCCCATCCTCTGGGAAGAGCAAATAAGCAGCAGTGACATAAGAGAAATAATTCTGTGCAGGGCTTCACTGACATCTCTAAATCAAGAGAGGAAAGCTCATGTTGCCAGATGCCCAAGACAGAATTACAGGGAACAACGGGTAGAATGTGGTGGGATACAATGGAAGTTGTTGGTACATGGTAGACAACATAGATGGGGTTAATTCCTAAACAACCACATAGCATTTTACAGAGTCAGTTGTAACCTAAGGGGAGAGGAAGACATTTATGGCTTGTCTACACAGGGAAGTTGTCCCAGAATAAAGTAGAGGGTAAATTTAAAGCATGATAGCTATTCTGGAATAATTCCCTGTATGGATGCTCTTTTCCTTGAAATACAAGAGTCCTTTTCCTGGTTTAGCTTAATCCACTTTGAAAATGGATTATGCTAAATTAGAAGAAGGCAGTCTTTTTCCAGCATAACAGCGTTCACAGGGGGAGTTCTTCTGGAATAGTTTATTCTGCAATAGTTATTCTGGTCAATTTCCCCATGTAGACAAGTCCTTGGAGAGAGTAGTGAGCCAGGGTGTACAATGGGTCAGGTGAGAGATCCAGCTTGGGGAGCAGTCTGAGCGAGCATTAGCAGGAGGAGTGGAGTTGCCGGGAGGAGCAGACAGGAACAGCATTGAGTGAGTAGACATAAAGAACAGTGGGCACCAATGAAAATAAATGATCATTACGGCTTATGTAATTAGGTTAATTGTGGGCATGCCCTCTCAGTGGGCCTGATCCTGTGCAGTGCCAAGTACTCTCTGAGAGCAGCAGCAACAACAACTGCTGGGTGCACCTGGCAGGATCAGGCCACAAACTTGGAAATGCTGCAGATATCTCAGTGGGCACATCCCCCAATGTGGTAAAGGACTCTCTTCCAGGGCCCCCACCCTGGTAAGTACAGTGCCAGAGAGGCCGGCTCAGAGCAGGTCTGGGAGGAGGTGTCTGGCAAGCAGGAGCCCACCAGCGTGCTGGGCGCTGTGTGAGCACGTAGCAAAAGCCCGCCCTTGCCGCACACATTTTACAGTCTAACCCCCCCAGCCGGCCGAACGGGGGACGGAAGGAAGTGGTATTATCCCTATTCTACAGGTGGGGAAACAGAGGCACGGGATTGTGTAACTGACTTGACTTGCTCCAGGTCACATAGGAGTGGTAAGGGGTATGTGGGGGGGTCACTCCCACTAGAGACTCCCCCCCCCCAGCTGCGGTGGGACTGTCAGACAATTGGGTACAGTTCCCCCCTATCTCCTCTGACTCCTCCCCCCACTTCTCCTCCCCTTCCCCACTGTTCTCCCCCGTCCTTCGCCCCGCCCCCTGCCCCGCCCCCGCCCGCTGCGTGCCCCGCCCCTCGCAGCCTCGCTCGGGCGCCAGCAGGCTCCCGTCATGGCCGCCGTGTGCCGCGGGCTCCTCTCGCCCTGAGCGAGCCGGCAGCGGACCCCCCCGCCCGGTGCCGGTGCCGGTGCCGGTGCGAGCCCCGCGGCGGCGAGGCGGCCGGAGGCAGAGGCGGCGGCTGGCCGGAGGCAGGGCGGGGATGTGACTGGCCGGGGCGGGGGGGAGCCGGGAACTCGCAGCCGCCCCCGGGGGGCCCCAGCCCCGGCCCCTTAGCCCGTCACTGCCCCCGCTCCCCCCAGAC